AAGTATGACTGACAAACCTGCTGTAGATACGATAAATGCTAGCAAGGGAACAGAGGCTAACTGTAGAGGAAGTAAGAGAAGAATATGAAGAATTCTCGTGTTAAACTTGGCTGAAAAGTAGACGGATTTTCTGTTTTCACTTCCGCATAATATTGTCCTTGAATCAACTAGAACTTTGATAGATTCCTTCTTGCATTTTACTACTGCCTCTCTCCTCATCCAAGAAGGCTTACTTGTCAAGAAAAGCCTCAAAAAGAAAGTTATCATGTGACAGAATGTTTTAATAACTTTAATAACTACTAATTATTGCATTCCTTTCTGCAACAAATTCTGTAGCAGTGTCACCAGACTCTTCTACGCCACCCCCGCGCAACGAAGAGGCGGGGCCAGACTAATAACAACTTAACAGGAACTTTTACTCTTCTTACTGCTAGTTGGACATAATTCCGGATCAGTCAATGATTGATCAGCAGCCTCTCTTAATCTCTTACATCCTAAATTTTAAAAAATATGATAGTGTGTACATTTCTATATCATATACAGTACATTCACTGATATGTGTCTTACTGATGCGTTCAGCTGAATTTTTATCATATTCTTCAAGGCAATTAACTAGTGTGGTCCAGTTTGCTCCTCCTTTTCTATCTACACCATCAGCTCTTTCTAACCATCTAGCTAGACATTCCCGAAGGCACACATGGCTTCCTTCTTTAGAGAAATTTAAACGTATATCTTTCAATGTACCATGATATAATCCTAATTTAAGACCAAGATCAAACCAGCACTCATTAGGAAAATGACCCTCTTTCATATAAGTTAAGATCTGATCCAAATCACTTATATCAAGTTCAACTGCTAGTGGAGATTGCAAAACTATATTAATAGACAAAATGATTAATTATTGAGTCAAATTGGTGCAAAATTAAAAAAAATATTTTATTTTAAAACCACACAGTTGATTTGAGCTCAATTCAATTAAACTATTGATAAGGACTTTGATTTACCTTGTATTAGTGCCTCAGGAGTACAGTCTGTTAAACCACAGTCTTTTAAATGAAACCAGCACCAGTAGCTCTCATCATCTTCACTTATATCAGCTGATGTAGCACATAAAGTACAATTTACCAAATAGTCTTCCTCTACAACACAGTAACAGTTCCTTTCCTTATTAGGACAGTGGAATGCATTAATGTGATTGCGCTTCACATTGATGGCATCAGCACTTTGATTGACAGCTGTCATGACTACTTCACGAATATACGGGCAATTCTCTTTTGCTTTCTCAACTGATCCAACAAAATAAACCTCAATATGGGTGTAGCGATTGATTATGTGAAGTGTGTAACGTTTCCTTCTAATTTTGATCCAGAGAGACAATGCATCACGATACTTGTAGTACTGTGGCTTTAATGGAGGAAATTCAATGCTAAAAGAGTGATCATTCTGATTAAGGAGGTGAGTGATGAGTAAGGGAAACATTCCTTGCGGAACTGGAAGAGAATTGACACCATAATGACCATGTTTATCTTGCCAGATTATAAGGAGAGGCTTGGTTTCTGTTTGAGATACAGATAAATTAGTGTATGGCCGCAAGGCACAAGGAAAAAAATAATCTCCTTCTCTTCCTTTGGTGATGACACGAAGATGAATGAGAAGGCCAATTAAATGAGATGGCACAAAATGAGGTGGAAAGAAAAGCTCCACATCTGATTTTAAGTGATCCAAGAGCTTCTCCTGGAAGAAGCCAAAATTATGAAGCTTGTCAATATCTTCATCTAAAGGTACTGGATTGGTAATTAGGTGCAGTGCACTTCTCTCAACATAAGTCAGAGCCAATAAACGTGACAAAATCTCAAGAATAGGCTGAGGATCAACGAAAACTAACTCCGGCAAGATATCAGGAAAATACAGGACAATAGTGACATTATGAAGATACTGTAAGGCATCCTTAGTATCATTCTCACTCATTTTAAACCTTGTACCAGCAGATATAACTTCATCTATTATAAGAACATTGCGGCTTTCCTTTTCTGCTACCTTTTGCAACCAAAGCTCAAATGCAAACCAGCGAATTGGCATGTGCATTTTAAGAGAAGTGCCTCCACAATTTGCTATTGATTGACACAGTTTTTGTCCTGCTGCTGTTCTTTCTTTATCTTCAGGGATTAGAGTATTAACAGGAAACACAATAGACTCTCCACGTTTATTGGGGACAACATAATTTTGTACGTCAGGCTTTAATGAAGACATTAACTCTTCATCAATTTTTTTGAGGCTATCTTGACTTATGAGATCATAATGCGTTCCTAATACAAAATGCATTGGATGTGAAGGCGTTTCAAGGACATGAGGGACATCAATTGGTTTTAGAATGGCTCCAGAAGAAACTGCAGACTGAAAGAATTCCCGATTTGAATACTTTAAATTTAAACCACACGAGAATGTCTCTCTACCAATTCTGTATTGAAAATCGAGCTTTCTATCGAGAGGTTTGGAGAGATCAAGAGTGATGATATTGAGAGAAGCTGTTCTAATGAACAATGGTAACAGCTCCTGGTACGCTGGCTGACCTCCAGAATCAATAACATACAACCAATGGCCACTTAACTGAACTCCTGATTGTTGGATTTTGTCTAAAATTTCTTGAATAACAGTTTCAGTTTCATCATTATTAGCCTCATTTGATATCGAGCTTGCTTCATTATCTGAAACAATACTTTCATTTATTTCTATAGAAGCAGAATTAATGATAGAAGCAGAAGGATCACTGTGTTGTTGTAAAGGTGAAGTAGTTCCAGTATGTTCTTCATACTGAGACGCAACTGCCACATTTAAATCAGAAGCCAGTCTTTCAAGTAAACCAGTTCTAGTAACTTTCTCCCATTTCAAATTGTCAGCAGATATTCTTGTAGCTCTAACAGCCGGACGAGCGATTGGTGTACTGTCAGTGACACACTCAGTAGGTGGGCCTTCATTCAACAGAAGGTGTTGTGCACAGGTCTTTCCAGCTCCAGGAGGTCCATGCATGTTAACACGAGTAACAGTTAGCTCAACACTACCTTCTTTTAGCCACTTATCCACAATTCCTAAACACAATCAAAATAAAATTCTAATTTGAAAAAGGTAACAATTAAAGGTACATAAAATTATCATTGTGGTAATAATTAATTGCCTATGCAATTGCAAATCCACAAGTAATAAAAATTGACTAAAATAATTAACTACTAATCATATACTGTATGCTTTGACAGGTGGAAGCATTCCTCAAAATTTTAAATTGCAATGCTATGATTATTACCACTTGAGATAGGAAATAGTTTTTCCATTGGATGCTCATGATCAATCTTATGATAACAGGTGGAGCAGAGATTATAATCCTAACAAAAAATTACATAACCAATAAGACTTACATACAAGTACATGTAAATGTAGCTATGTACATGCGTGTGTACATATACTATAAGGACAAATTCTTACCTTACATTCTTTACAATGCCACCTAAACTTGATACTAGTTTCACAATTATTACAGAAATTACCTCCCATTTGTGACTGAAGGATAGAGGATTTGAGTTCTTGTAAAACGTGATTCACAGAGAGAGGTGGTGGAAATGGGAGATATTCTGAGAGGAAGAAAATAAGAGAAATTAATGAACAGTAGATGCACATGCCTGGTAGAATATTCTGCAAGTAATAATATTTAATTATGTGTATAAATATTATTTGGCTGGCCTGATACATGTACACATTGTCCTCTATCTGTATTCTCTCTCCCCCTCATCTATTTTACCCATTCCTATCTTGTCCTTCAGATTATTTGCATCCACATCCAGTCCTTTTCTAACATAAAAAATCTTTTCTGCTAGCTTTTGATAATAATCCTCCTACAAAACAAAGCTCAATCAAAATCAACCACACACATCAATTAAAATTAGCCACACCCAATATTAAAACTCACCCTACTGCTTGCATTTTCGAACATCATATTTTCAAGCTTTGCAGCATATTGGGATACACTCTTAACTCTGCTGTCAATACTGTTTTGAAAGGAAACTGGATAAATTGCTTTAATCCTTAAGAGAAAAAAAGGAGATAAAGGGAAAAAGAGAAAGAGGAATAGGCCACTTTAATTTGATTCATGATTCCCGCCTACACACACTCACATCAGTGATTCAATATTTAATTATGCATAGATATACACATTAATTTATATTGTGCTAATTTTTATGAATATTTATGAAGTTGTTTGTGAACGGAGAAACAACTTACAGTTTTTTAATAAGGTGATTCCTTAAGTCTAAATTAACTCCAGCATTCCATGCTCTAAACAAAAACAATTAAAAAACAATAAAAGAAGAAAAAGGAGTGAGACAGCACAAGTATACATACTGGTTAGGAGGCATTGGGTTAATTCCAAATTTTCTTCGAAGCTGACCAAGTATATTACTAGCTAGGTTGGTGTTTTTTATAGGGAAGCATACAGGACACTTTCGATGTCTGCAGTGATTCCAGTGACAAATCAATTGTTCTGAAGAAGCACAATGACGAACTAGAGAAAGAGATAGAAAATCCCATATAACAAGAAATTTTCATGGCCCAAAAATTTTACAAATCCATCCAAAAATCTATTTCGTCATTTTAATTTTCACAATTTTCTGCCTTTTGGCCATGTCAAACCGTATGTAAATCGCAAAATTCACAAAAATTTTGGGCCACGAAAGATTCTAGCTATATAGTAAGATAGTGTATGCTATTCTGCATACACATATACATGCATGGATGAGCAGTGACAGTGCCAGGTCAATGAAACAAAGGGAGGAGTATATAAACAAGAAAAGTGAAAAGAATCAGTCAAGGAAGGCTTGGGAGGCATCCATAATAAAAAAGACTAGTGCTTTAAATGGAATTTTGTCAACAGGGTGGGCCTATGCCCGCACCCCCTTTAAAACCACCAGTGTGCATGAGCACTCAGTGAGTACATTGTACAATTGTATAATTATGCATAAATATACACTTTAGGAACAAGATGGCTTATTAGGTGGTTGAACTTAAAATCCTCTATAGAAAGTACCATACTCCCCCAATTAATGCACCCTCTTAATTATTGCACCTCTACATGGCTTCCACAATAAAAACAGGCTTTCTATTGAGTGCACGTCGCCACCTCCTGGTCAAGATAATTATTTTTGAGAGGTGCATTGTAATTAGAAAGTCCCATTGGTTACAGGTGTATTGCGTACTTAGCTAAGCACCAACAAGCACCTCCTGGAGCATTTCATAATAATTGTTCCTATTACCTTAGAGTGACTTTTAATTGCGGGTACTAAATTTTGCGATTTTAGCCCAAGGTAGATTTTGCTGGTATTAAAAAATGCAATTAAGTAATTATTACTAATAGTTATATGGCATCATGATGTCATTATTAATAATTGCGCGTATTAATAATTGCGATTTTTAATCCAAACGCAAAATTTGCAATTAATAGTACCTGCATTTAAAAGTAACCTTAAGGTAGTATCTAAACAATGTACCACCTGAGACATGTAATTATTTATCAAGAGGTGCATTAATTGGGGCGAGTACGGTAAATGCCATTTACACCGTCCCCCAGTATTTCCTTAAATTCTATCTATAGGTAATATTAAATTTTAGATGCTAAAGCACTGCAGATACAATACAAAGGCAAAAAGTATAAGAAGACAAACATTATCAAGTTCATTTCTTAGCAGCTGCTAAACTGCACACGTGATAAAAATTCAAGATCAATTATTAATTCATTCAGCCTTCCGCACAAATTAAGGGTAAATAAATACAATAGCTGAAAATTTTGAGAGCAAAAGCTTTTGCTGTTTTTCCATATTAGTAAAACTTTATTCCAAAAAATTTCTTCAAAGAGGAAATTTGCCAAATTCACGGCATATAAGTTTGGCATCTCAAAATTTCCAGCTATACAGTAGTTAATTTTAACATCCAAGCATGCATCATGTACTTATTTACATTGACATTTTCTCCCTGCTCGACACTTGGTCATGTGATTAAGAACATTCTTCATTGTCCTACAGTGTGGCAGAGCACAGGGTCTGAACCTGTCATCTGCCTGGTGCTCTCTCTCCCTCTTCTGACAGTGATAAGCATGAAGGAGGAGTACTAGTTGCTGTTGGATGAGTTCCTTTTTCTTTGGATCATAGAAAGGCTGCAAAGGACCACCAAAAATTGGAAGTTGAGGCTGGAAATGAGGAGAAAAGGTTTAAGTGAAGTTTAGTTGCATTATTTATGTTTGATTTAAGCAAATTCCTAATTTTAAATATCAAACCATAAATTAATTTAAGAAAATAATTAATTTCTCTCTAATATCTCTCAGATCACATACCGTATAGCGGGTAATTTTCGACTGGTGCTTATTTTCGTCTGTTTCGTTGCTATTAATTCTGAACGAAAATTAATTCTGAAGATAGGCGTGACCATAATAAATTATTAATAACATGATAACAAGCATGGATGGCCTTGAAAACGGTGTTCACCTTCTAAAGAATCTCTTCCAGCCCCTACAGGACCAGGGGACCTCTTTCTAATGCTATCAGTCCTACAGATGCTAGTGAAGACATCAGATCAATTATTTTTGTCTAGTCGAAAATAAAACCAACGAATTTTTATTCTAAAGCCATTTCTGGTTTCAGTCGAAATTTTCAACCACCGAAAATAACCCGCTATACGGTAATACAGCACTGCAGAAGAGGTGTGGCTAAATTATAAACACTAAGCCCTAAACCCTAATAACCTATGCTCTAATTAAAACTACGAGTGTGCCACACCTCTTCCAGTGCAGTCTTCTCTATGTTACCCCATCTCTCATGCTCTCATCATCATTATTATAGGTACCAGCTGTGTGTCATCAGCAGGTTGGTACATGTTCATCTGATACGGAGAGTTTGTCATGGTGGCGTTGGCCTGGGGCAGAGAGGAGGAGGGAGGGAAGGAGTGAGAAGGAGAAGAGCTAATTGAGGGAAGAGCTGGAGTGGCATCCCCTGAAGTACGTATCGCAGTAGAGACTGGGTTTGAATGAATACTGTTAGCAATGGGATGAGTGGGTGAGGGAGATCTAACAGTGACTGATGACAGAGGAACAGTGACCTTTAGATTATCTACCGAGTCATTTGGATAAAAAAAGAGAAGAATCACACAGCTTTTTGTGTTTAAACAAACAACATTGCTTAAAGAGCTTACCACTTCTTTCTGCCATTATCTAGTTCTACATGTATAAACTATTAAACTTAGCCCAGCCCCTCCCACAAAAAGGGTGGGATTTTAAAAATTAAAATTAATAAAGAAGATAATGAATAATCAATGAGATAAATAGAGGGAAAGAGTGGTTGTGGTCTGTGCACTTGTGATAATGAATAATTGAAATATGCCATTTGAATGTCAGTAATAACGATAATATTGTACAGCTCAGATTAATTCTATTTATAGTAACATTTCTTCCCTTGTAACTAAATTTAGTAACAGGCTCCACCTCTAAACTATAGCCACATTTATTGTCCTGCTAGTCGGTGGGCGGTATCTCCTCCTATTCTTCCTACGAATCACTTTCTTTTCTTTTATAACGCCTTCTTTATGAGTTCCATCATCTTCTTCATCATCGTCGTTGTCACCATGACTACCACTGGAGTCACACCACTTTTGAAGACGAGGAGGTTTTGATGGAGTCAATTGAGAGGAAGGTAGTCTTGGGAGAGGTGTAGAGGCAAAGTATGTCGGGAAATAAGCAGCTACAGCCTCGTAACATATTGATAACTCTCCACCTCTTATCTATAAATAGGATTGTGTTACTAAAAATAGGCATTGATGTAATACTGCCTTATAATAAATAGCATATCATTACTATAAATAGCATATTGTTACTATAAATAGCATATGAATACTATAAATAGTACTTTAAATAGTATATTGTATTACCTGGAGTATTTCTTCAAGGTAGAGTAGTGTTGATAACCAATCGCAGTTCAACTGCTTTAAATGACAACCCAGTATTGCTAATCCTAGCATTGAAGGCTGTAGGAAAATAAATTAATATAAATGTCATCAAAAAATTATGTAGTTATATTCATTCTTCTTACCCTGTATTTCATTAGCTCATGATTACATACAACGTGCTGGGCACACTTATAAAGGTGACACAAATGAGAGGAAAGAGTTAGAGACTGAGGAAGGGAGAACATCTCACTTCTTTCGGCTAATCTGTGAAACTATTTTTTAAAACATACAAAAATAAAATAATTTTAAACAGAATATTTCTACTTTTTTGATATAGTCCTGTATTGTGTGAAGAGACCTCGCTGAGGCTATGTCTGGAGTTTGGATTAAGAATGCTTCCATCTTTTCTACATCAGTGACTGAACACCCTGAATAATACTTACTGACTAGTTTATGTGATAATGCTACCACTGACTAAATGGGACAAAAGAGAGGAGAAATGAGAGAGAGAAGAGAGAGGAAGAGGGATAAGAAAAACAAAAGAGAACAAATGGAAAAGGTATGAAATTAAAGAAATGAAAATGAGAGGGGGAGAATAAGGAGGAGTAATATAATCAGAGAAGGAAGTGACAAAAAGGATGTGAAAGAGAGGGAGAGAGAGGAGGTCAGAGAAGAGGAAGGAGGGGGAAGCATAAACAAACAGATGGCGTGTTCTCACTTACATCACAACTTTCAACTAATTTGGTGGCTATTGAGTAGCAAGAGGCAGCCATTGTCTGCAAAAACTCACGCTTTGTCTAAAAGGAATTGAAAAAGGAGTTGAGAACATTAACAACATGCTCACCACTACACATCAGCACATAAACATAAATAAGAATACATACAATATACAGGGCATCATACCAGCAGCATAGACTTGGCATAAGTCTTAAGATTGATGATCCAACTTTTCTAACTCAATAAGTGTTTTATTACCACAATCAACTGCCATTAAAAGCTACCAATGTTCCCTTATTCAAAGCAAAATAAGTAGAATTTCATTGCAATTACCATCAAAAAGAAGTTCAATTACAAATTTAGCATTTAACGGTAATTCATTATAAGATTATGTGCTAGGTGAGGCCAAACTCCCATTCCTTTATAAAGGTAATGTTTTGGCATAGGCATGCACAAACTAGCACCATTGCAAGAATAGCACAAATATCTCACTGTCATGATCAAAGAGACCAATCATACAGTACACAATGGGATCACACTCTATTAACAATACCGCTAGTGTATAATAGTAGGAATGCTAATTATCATATTATCAAGTTGAGACTTTGATTGGTTGTGTGTAATTATGGTGTTGTGAAGAAGACAAATGAGCAGTGCTAGATCTAAAAATATATTTTGGAAGACCAATTGAACTAAAAATGGGATGATTTCAGGATATCTAGATCAAAGGTGAGAGGCTAAAAGTCTCCTAAACTCCCTCCAGGTCTAAGAGTACAAATGAAGCTATTATTTTGGTTGCAAACAATCAATTTATTGAAGCACAAAGGAGCTTAGGAATGTCTTCAATGACGTGTCTGTTTGTGTACCAGTTAATAATAAAATTAAATTCCAACCTTTAACTTGTTTGATATTTATAATAAACGAATAATTTGTCAAGAGATCAACAATGAAACCTGATAGGATTTCAACGGATACACACATACACACGGACACAATTCTCCACAGCAATCAACTTGTTTACCTTTTTAGTTGACAAGAATGTGTCCAGTAGTAGGGTGCTCTGGTAGAACACACTGATTGAGAAGGAGAGATCGTGGGTAATATTCCGAAACCATGAAACCTGTTCATCTCGGTCTCTTGCTGTTACATATTTATAACTTCGAGGATTCTAAGAGAAAAAATATTAATACGTGTTACATCAAATGTTACAAGCATGTTTGCCGATCTCTCCCTCTCTTGCTTTTAAGGTGTGTTAAGGTTGCTATGGCCAGTGCTTAAAATACATGTACACATACATTTACAGTTCTACATACAATACAGTGTTGAGTGAGTTAATGGGATGGAAGTCAAGATATTCAATAAAGCCAGTCTCACCTCTTCTATGTGGTAGATAGCTTGGCTGTAAGTGTATGTCTTTGACTCTGTCTCGAGGACAGCTCGAAGCTGCTGTAGTTCTCCTTCCATGGAACGCTCTGACTGCCTTCTCAGCGAGACCCAGTCCGTTACTCGAGGCGAGGGAGATGGAGGAGTTGAAGGGGACGCCATTTCTTTCTCTCTCTGTTTCTCGTCTTGGGATGAAAGTGAAAGCAAGGTGAAGGAAGCAAGGAGAGAAAAAATATATAGCTCTAATTATCTCTCTCTTTCTCTGGTAGGACTGGAAATGTTATTAGGGGAAACAGAGAAGACAGAAAACTAAGTTGTCTCCTTCCTGGATTGAGCACCACGTGGGTGGAGTTGAGGTGTGGTTGATGTGGGCGTGGTTATTTATTTATTTAAAATTAATTAACTTTATTAATCAATTTAATAACTAATTTTAATTTTTGCTCACGTGATCCAAATAACAAACAAAATTTTTCCATACTTTCCCGCGTTCAAGAAGAAACTCATCCAAAAAGACTGAAGGAAGAAAAGGGTAAAGAAAAGATATTTTTAAGAAGAAAGGAGGCTGCTGAAAAAAAGGAACTGGAAAAACTTTATCTGAGACCGAAAGAGAACTGGGACGCCATTAATTAGTCATAAATTAAAATTATACAAAAAATGGATCAGTACACTAGAATACGTAAGATAGGTGAGGGGTCGTATGGTCGTGCGTTGCTTGTGAAAGGTCGTCAAGATGGCCGCCAGTACGTGATAAAGGTCATCAATCTGAGCAAGATGGACAGGAGGGGGAGGGAGGAGGCGAGAAGAGAAGTGAAGGTTCTCTCACAAATGAAACACCCGAATATTGTATCATATAAAGACTCATTTGAAGGTAAATGTGTACATGTACTTCTTGGTTTGGGGATTTTATAATGTACATGTACATATATGTATTCTATTTTTAGTAACATTACTATTATTTCTATTTATAGAAACTGGTTCTCTTTATATTGTAATGGACTATTGCGACGGAGGTAAGTCCAACACTTAATATCTGACCACACCTTCTGTCCCACCCCCAAAAGGTGACCTCTACAAACACATCAATGCTCAAAGAGGTCGTTTGTTCCCTGAAGACCAGATACTAAACTGGTTTGTCCAGTTATGTCTTGCCCTGAAACACGTCCACGACAGAAAGATACTCCACAGAGACATCAAGTCCCAGAATGTGTTTCTTACAAAGAGAGGCGTGGTCAAACTCGGTGATTTTGGTATAGCTCGTGTGTTGAATAGCACAGTGGAGCTGGCCAGGACTTGTATTGGAACTCCTTATTACCTGTCACCTGAGATCTGTGAGAACAGACCTTACAATAATAAGAGGTACATGTACATGTACGTGTACATGTACTGTGAATCTTTAAATAGAAGCCACATTCGAATAAACGCCGGGGTAGCAATACAATTTAGCTATAAATACGCAACACTAGCCCAGGAGTGACTCAGTAGTCGAGTGGATAATGCCAGAAGTTCCAGAAGTTAAAACCATGTGGTCACGGGTTTGAACCCCGCTCTGGGCCTAAGTTTTTTTTATTTTTTATATATTTTTTGAGGTCCAAATACCATTTTAGGAAATAGACGCCCGGGCTTTTTTTTTAAGGAAATACGGTACATGTATATATACATATACAGTACATATATATGTACATGTACATGTACATGTACATATACAGTACATGTACTATTCATGTTATGTATGGTAAACTGGTAACAGTATTATACTACATTTGTATGTGTACATAAACTATTTTTATATTTAAATTTAAAACTCATTTTAGTGATATTTGGGCTCTTGGTTGTGTACTTTATGAAATGGCAACTCTAAGACATGCTGTAAGTTTCTCTCTTTCATTCTCTCTTCCTCCTCTACTCTGAATTTTCTTGTTCTTAGTTTGAGGCTGGCAACATGCGTAATCTCATTGTTAAGATAGTGAGGTAGAGAGAGAGAGGGTGAGGTTGAGTAATTATTATGTTTCTCTAGAGGTTCTTATCCTCCTCTATCGTCCCAGTACTCTCGTAATCTTCGGAGTCTTGTTGATTCCTGTCTCAAGAATGCCCCGAGGGATCGACCGTCTATTAATTCGATTTTAAGATTACCTTTTATTCAAGAAAGAATCGGGAAATTGCTTTCAGAAACGGTTCGGTTTTTAATCCTCTGTTTTGTCTTTTATGATCATTTAGGTATCGGCAGAAGAGTTCAGCCATACTGTACTACATAAGAAAAAGACGGAGCCTGTTCCTAAGCCCCTTCCACTTAAGAAAGAGCCACCTCAAAGTAATTTTAATGAATAAGAAATGTGAAAATTTTTAATTGATTTTAGTTGTTGAGGGGGTTAAAATTGGCCTAAAAGCTCAAGGAGGAGTGGGAGGAGATAAAAAGGTTGATGAGAGGCGTGTCTCAGCCGAGGAAAGGAGGAGGGTGGTACTGAAACCGAAACAAAGGATGAGTGAAGGAGGAAAGAAACCTGTACGTACATGTACATGCACCTGTATAGTGATTAGTATGCTAAATGTACTTGTACCTGTATAGTGTACATGTATTATGGTATG